GGGTGCAAAGCCAACGGTCACATGGTGATGGCTAGTGTGATCACAAGCGCATTGTGGGGGCTGGAGAGATGACTCAGTGGTTAAAAGCACCGGCTGCTCTTCCAGAGGACTTAGAATTCATTCCCAGCACTACATGGCGGCTTGCAATCATTTGTCCCTCCCGGTCCAAGAGATCCAAGGTTGTCTTGTGGCCACTGCAGACACCCATCATACATGTGGTGTACAGACTTACATGTAAGCCAAACACCCATAGACAAAAATAAACATTTTTTTTAAATGAGAGTAAGAGTGCATTGTGCATTTCAAGTTTTCTAAGAAACAAGTTTAAGGGTATTCCTTTGACTGCTTTACCTTTTATTAATTTAAACCCATGCACAATGATTACAAGACAGAAGGAGGTGTCCAGGTCACGTCACCAGCTGCTTCACGTTGCCCCCAGGAACCAACTCTGTCCCATGACCTCGTTCCCTGTATGTAGGTCTGCCAGTTCCCTCACGCTCCAGAGAGTGAGCACCCACTTGACCCTCACTCTCAAGTCTTATCTGGTCATTACCCAGAGAAGCCCACGCCCATAAGACTCTCACCCCAATACCATTGGCTTATCCGGCCGAATTCCCACAAGTAAAAACGTTCTTGCTACAAAAACCACAACTCCTTGAGTTGATGGGTATGCTAATTAACTTCTGATTAAGTTATTCTGCATACTGTTTGCAAGGCACAGCATCACCTTGTGCCCCATAAACATGTCAGACGGCTTAATTAATTTAATTTAAAACAACAATTTTTAGCAAGTAGATAAAACTGTGACGGTTGTAGTAGGTGCAGCAGCTGTGGTGCTGTTCCACAACTTTGTGAAACCTCAGAAACAAAATCAGCTTGTTAGGACGACGGGGCAGCCGTGTAAAGGTGTGTTAAAATAGTGTGTGTTCTAGGTTATCGGTAGGTAACTGGCTTCTAAGGCAGGTCCAGCATCGTCAGCGTTTAACCATCCGACACGGTCCACGGTTTGTCACAAGTGCGTGTGTATGCACTGATTCTTCATCAGACTCACTGCAGGAAGTCTTCCCGCAGTGAATCCTCCGTCACTGGTTCTGAGTGGGCAGATTTCCCTTTTCTGGGTATACCACGTTCAGGTTAGGCCTAGAGGAATTTGAATGTCTGCCAACGAGCATTTTTGTTTTGCTTTGCTTTGTTTTTTCGTTTTCTTTAGTTCGTTCATTCATTCATTCATTCATTCATCAATGTACATGTGTCACCTGTCTTCATACACACCAGAAGAGGGATTGACGTGATGGCAACAGATGGCTGTGAGCCACCATGTGGTTGCTGGGAATTGAACTCAGGACCTCTGAAAGAGAAACCAGTGACCTTAACCACTGAGCCATCTCTCCAGCCCTTCTTTTTCTTTTTTGAGACACGGTCTTACTATGTAGCCTTGCCTGGCATGGAATTTGCTGTGTAGACCAGACTGGCTTCAAACTCCACCTGCTTCTTCCTTCAGGGTGCTGGGATTAAAGGAATGATCAACATTCCCTCCTCCAAGAGGCTTCTTATGATTTTTTTTTTACATGTTTTGTTGAATTTAACCCTTTGATAGAAAAGACAGTAAGTTTTGCTCATATTTCCCACAGTGTGATCCAGCAGTCCTATTGACTGAATGTGCTATAGTTTGAATCTGAGATGCTTCCCATAGGCTCATTTCTGAAGGCTTGTTCTCCAGCAGGGTAATGGTACTGGTTTTGTTTGGTTTTGTTTTCAGGGAAGGCCTGTGAAACCATTAGGACATAGGTCCTATCTGATGGAAGTTGGTCACTAGGGATAGCTCTGAAGTTTTACCTGCCCATGAACATGGATCCCTTTGTGATCTCTGCTTCCTGTTCTGCTATGGTGTGAACAGCCTCCATCAGTCTGTAGCTGTGGAATAATCTTTATGTACTCTGTGATTATGTATTACTCTTATTGGTTAATAAAAAAAACTGATTGACCTGTAGCAAGGTAGAATAAGGCTAGGCAGGAAAGTCAAACTGAAAATGCTGGGAGGAAGGAGAACAGAGAGACTCGAGCCAGCTGCCCAGGAAGCAAAGTGTGCTAGAGAGAACAGGTAAAGCCATGAGACTTTGTTTAATAGAAATGGGTTAATTTAAATGTAAGAGTTAGCTAGTAATAAGCCTGAGCGATTGGCTAAGCATTTGTAATTAATATTAATGTAATTAAATAATCTGTGTGTTTATTTAGAATCAGGTAGTCAAGACAGAAAACCTCAGCCTACACTCTGTTGAAGCTGTGCCCTTCCCTCCTGTTCTGCTGTGGTGTGAACAGTCTCTTTCACACTCTGTTGAGGCTGTGACCTCCCCTTTTGTTCTGCTGTGGTGTGAACAACCTCCTTCACACTCTGTCCATGCTGTGCCCTCCCTTGCAGAGGTAGAATAAAAATGAGAAAATAAGCCTTCCCTCTATATAGTTGTCTTTGTCAGGTATTCTGGTCACAGCTACATCAAAGTGTCTAGTACTATATATGAGCCAAAGAAATTAAATCATAACAAAGAGATACTTGCACACCCATGTTGACTGTGGCATGATTCACAATAGCTAAGATATGGAATCAGCCTAGGTGTTTATTCATGGAAAAGGGGTAAATAAAATATGAGGTCAGGTTAGAGAGGTGGCTCAGCAGTTGAGATTACTGGCTGATCTTCCAGAGGACCCAGGTTTGATTCCCAGCACCCACATAGCAACTCACAACTATCTGTCACTTCAGTTCCAGCAGATCCAATGCCATCTCCTGTTTCCAAGGGCACCAGGTGTGAATGTGGTGTGAGACATATCTGCAAGCAAAGCACCCATCTATGTAAAATTTATTAATTTTTAGAAATTAAAAAAATACTGTGTATTGACACTATGGATTATTATTCAGTCATAAGACACATTAAATCTTGTCATTTGTAGCAAAAAACTATGTGCAATAAGCCGAGCATAGACAGATGTCCTTTCTCATTTGTAGAAGCTAGAACAAGTTTGCTGGGGCCTGCAAGATGGGTCAGCAGATAAAGATGCTCGCCACCAGACCTCACAACTTGAAGGAGGGAGAGAGGGAGGGAGGGAGAGAGGGAGGGAGGGAGAGAGGGAGGGAGGGGGTATTTGTTTTTTTAAAGGATGGAACAATTTTTTAAAAAGCTAGGAAACAAAACCATTCAGCACGGAAGTGGAGCACCACTTTAAGCCCAGCATTTGAGGAAGAGGCAAGTAAATCTCTGTGAGTGTGAGGTTGGCCTGATCTACATGGAGACTTCCAGACCAGCCAGAGATATATAGTGAGATCCCGTCTCAAATAAAATTAATTTGATGTTTATTACAAGAAGACAGGAAACTTAAGAATGCCTTTTACTTTGTAACAGAACTTTCTGAGCTGTTAGGTTAAAGTACTTTGTATTTGTATTTTCAAATATTAATGTGTTATTTGAACAGTAAAGGTGTAGCTTATTGTGTTTTCTTTTTTAAAATACTTTTTATTCTGGTGTGTGTGTGTGTGTGTGTGTGTGTGTGTGTGTGTGTGTATGTGTTTTACTGTTAACTGAACCCAGGCCTTCATGCATCCTTGGTCAGCACTGTACCACTGAGTTACATCCCTAACTCTTTTCATATTATTTTTGTTCTTTTGAGAAGGTTTCATTGAGTACCCAGCTCGTCTTAACCCCACTCTGCAGCTGAGGCTTTAAGCTTGTGCTCCTCCTTAGCCTCAGCCTCAGCCTCTTAAGTAGCTGGGATGACAGGCCTGGGTCATCAGTACTTGTTATTATGCTTTCTTCCATTTCTTCATTTCTTCATTCATTCATTCATTCATTCATTCATTCATGCGTGCATCCTGTGTGCATGTGGCAGGGGCACATGTGTGCCTCGAGGTCAGAAGACAACTCGCAGGAATTAGTTCTATCTTTCTACCATGTGAGTTCTGGGGACCAAACTCAGGTCGTCGGGCTTGGTGGCAAGTGCCTTTACCCACTGAGCCATCATTCTGGCCTCTGCTTGCATTCGTGAAAATATATAATTTTAACAGAGCTAAATATTAAAAAATCTTAAAAACCTTTAGAACAGGAACTAATTCACTCTAAGAACGTCTTACATGAAAAGATGACTATCAAACGATCTTTCAAAATATTTATTCCAAATAAAAATTCATACAAAGTGGTATATACAGGAACACAGCATCAGGTAAGATAATTCCAGTGGGGGGGGGAGACCTTGAGAAGCACAGTCCTTGGGCTATCAAAATGATAAAATTCAAAGTAATTTTACATAAGATACTTTAATGAAAAATAGTGCCATTCCACGCAAGTAACAAGACCATGCTGGCCACCAAGTAAGAAAAAAAATAATCCTTGACAACTTATGCACACAGCCCTTATCCAGCTCTCAGAAACACCTATTTTATCCCCTAAAAAGACCATATTTTCTTCCTTCTTACTCCGGTGGAAATTATTCAGTATTTCATTTTTTGGTTGTTTGTTTGTTTGTTTGGTTTTTTTTTTTTTTTTTTTTTTTTTTTTTTTTTTTTTTTGGTTTTTCGAGACAGGGTTTCTCTGTGATTTTGGAGCCTGTCCTGGAACTAGCTCTTGTAGACCAGGCTGGCCTCGAACTCACAGAGATCCGCCTGCCTCTGCCTCCCGAGTGCTGGGATTAAAGGCGTGTGCCACCACCGCCCGGCTTTTTTGTTTTTATACAAGTAAAAGAACATTTTTTTCAGACAGCTACTGAGCAACCAAATGAACCCTTAAAATGGGAGTTAATATCTAAATAATTTTTATGAAAGCAAGAATGGCTGGATAGTGGGTCTCTGGGCAAGGGAGGGGTGGTGTTCTTAGAGGGAGTAGCTTTCAGAGTGAGAGCTGAATGAGCTCTGAAAGTCTTCTTCCTGATAACAACCTGACACACACCCAAAGGTACGGATCACACAGGCAGACACAGACACAGACACACACACAGACACACACACACAGACACACACACACAAACACACACACACACACCTACGCATGCACGCACGCGCGCGCACACACACACAGAGAATCACATACATGCACATACTCGACCTGCGTCCTGGCAAGGCTGCCCCCAGACTCACTTCACTTGCTGGAGCACTCACTGCCCCCTGCCAACAGCTGACCCTTGCCCCGGACACCATCCCTCCTTCCTTCCTATAGGCCTGCCAGCCCTACTCTGCCCTTTCCTCCTGGGCCACTGCCCTGTCTGGCTGCCTCCTGGCTCTGTAGACACTTGGGCTGTGCCTCCTCTTCTCGCTCCTCCTCGGAGTCTGACTCGGATTCATCGTTGTAGAAATGAATGGTGGCTTGCACTGGGAAGCTGGCCAGCACTTTTTCCCCAGAGCTCTGCAGGTATTCTTGTCGCTTTGAAAGGGGTAAGTAAAGCCTAATATTAAAGAAACAAAGAAACCATTGGCTTCTGACAAAAGCGCTTAAGTTCCCCCATTTCTGTCTCATTTTTGCCTGCTGTGTACACGATGCTTTTAAGTTACCCGAACACAGAACTGGACACCTGCTGAGGGACTAGCTAATAACCACCCCCACTCTAATCAACCTAGTCCCACAGCAAATATATTAACCAAAACTGGGCTCTAATCTTAAAAGGCCCGCTCTCATCGGATGGATGACCTGAACCCTCCTGGATAGGAAATGTCCGGTCCCCTGCACACATTCACCTCAGAGGACAGGAATATAACCAACCCTCTGAGACCCTGGCCTGGAGGAGTAACTGACTGTTCCCATAGTGAAGGGAAAGATGAGAGATGGGTCCTTCTCACTGGAAGGAGAAATGCGCTTGGGGAAAGACATAAAGAGACATAAGGAGAGAGAGAGGGAGGAAAGACGGAGAGGTGCAGAGGGAGGGAGGGAAAAGAGAAAGGAGGAGGAGAAGAGAACAGAATGGAGGAAGGAGAAAGGGAGAGGGAGAGAGATAAGGGAGAGAAAGAGGAAGGAAAAGTTTAAATACATACAAATTGGAGCCCCCAAGTTTCAAGATTTCTAAAACTGGAGATTCCAGTTACTGTGAAAAGTGTTTAAAATGGCTCCAATCGTCTCTTAGTATTTCTCACTTATGAATTCCTTTGCTCCCCCTTTCCTGAGATCCCGGTGGGTCTGTGCTTCCCTGGCTCCAGCACCCTTGGCAACGTCTGGACACCTTCCTGACTAAGGAGAAGCTCCTGTGGGTTCTGGGCAAGAGCGGGAAGAGCTGCCAAACACCCTGCCCTGCTGGGGTCAGTCTCCACAGCACAGTCCTGCCCAGTCTATGGTGTCAGGAGGGCGGGAGCCCTGTAGCAGACAGAGCACATGCCAAATGCGTCAACACAGGTAAAGCAGAAATACAAGCGAGGTTTATGCCAGTCTGTGTTACATTTAGGTGGTTAGTATTTGCCGGTGAGTTTGAAGGGCAAATGGAATTTGTCATATGACCAGTCCCAGCTTGTAACAAAACATTAAATGCATAAAATCACAAACAGATTCCAGAAATAAAATAATATGTCCTTGAAACTCCTTGGTAAGGAAACAAAATAATACTCAAAACTATATTTAACTCTCCACTGTGTTGAGAACGCTAATGTGAACTGCCGTCTAAAGATCATGTGGTCTTTATGCGCTTTTTACAGTGAAGAGGCAGCGTATTACCTGACTGGGTGCTGGAACCCAAAGGCTCCCTTTGATCCTGAAGTTTGCTGGCTCCCCCAAGGCTCACACTGTAAAGACAAGCATGTAGAAACACAGATGAAGTCAAGGATCCGCCGATGGTGCCATCCTGAAGCTTTACCGGTCCAGCTGAAGCAGTCTGTACCGACTGCTAGCCGGACTAACATGAGCGGTTCAACATGTTAGTGTCTCGCAGGTTCTGCTTCTGTTTATCCACAGTGATCCAGGAACTGAGGGTTCAGACCTTAAACCCATGTGTGTGATACGGTGTATTTGTATGCATGTGTGTGTGCAAGCATGCTTGCTCATGAGTGTGCAGTATGGTATATTTGTATGTGTGTGTATGTGCAAGCATGCTTGCTCATGAGTGTGTGTGGTATGGTGTATTTGTATGTGTGTGTGTGCAAGCATGCTTGCTCATGAGTGTGTGCGGTATGGTTGCTCATGAGTGTGTGCAGTATGGTTGCTCATGAGTGTGTGCAGTATGGTTGCTCATGAGTGTGTGTGGAGACTAGATGTCCATGGCCAATTGTTTTCTGTCCCTCAAACAAAGGTTTTGTTTTTTTTGGTTTTGTTTTTTGTTTCTTTGGTTTTTTGAGGTTTCTCTGTGTAACCCTGACTGTCCTGGAACTCTCTCTGTAGACCGTGATGGCCCTGAACTCACAGAGATCCACCTGCCTCTGCTCCCAAATGCTGAGATTAAAGATGAGCACCACCTCCACCTGGCTTACTAACAAAGTTTTATTGAGGGAGGGTTGCTCACTGAACTTGGAGGTCACCTATTTAGCTAGACTGGTTTGCCAGCAAGCTCCACGGTTCTCCTGTCTCAGTCCTTGGTGCACCCCACACCAGGCTTTGCACATGGGTCCTGGGGATTAGAATTTAGGTCCTCATGATTGTACAGCAATCGCTTTATCTACTGAACCATCTCCCCAACTCCCAGGTCCTAGATAGACGTGTGTGTATTTGTGTGTGTATATGTATGGGTAAATATATAGACAGACATGTGTGTGTATTTGCATGTGTATATGTATGGATATATATATGTATACACACACATATGAGAGACATGAAGGCAGAAGAGACAGAAGGGAAAGAAAGGAGACTAGTGGAAGGGGAGACTATAGGGAAAATCAAAGGAAGGGAATATACATTTTGTATTTGGTTGCTCTCTGTGCTGTTCCATCCTGAGTGCATGCGTATGTATGTGCGTGTGGTGTGTGCCTGTGTGTGTGTGTAACAATCTGTGAGCAAACTGACCTACAGGATGTCTCTGCAGATACTAACACTGTGAAGAGCTCAGGGCAGAGTTAAGTGGGGGTCTTTGGAACACAGTCCTTCACACTGAGGCTGACTCTTCCGCACTACAGAAAACAGCTTCTGGATTAAGTTCCTTGTAATTTTAAACAGTCCCTAAAGTGAGGTGGTGACGCTGCACACAACCCCGTCCTGCTAAAGATGACTGTTGTGGGAACGGAGCTCACTGTGGTAGACTGCCAGGCATGCTGCTAATCCGACCAGAGAGAAGCTGCTTCCTGCAAGCATCCTGTCCTCCCTAGACTGAGGACGTGCAATGCCTGCTCATGAACTGAAGAAACCAACTCCACAAACATACGCGCCCTTAATTTTTTATGCCACATTTTCTTTTTCCTTTTTGACTTTTGAGACAGGATCTCACTATGAAACTCAGGCTGGCCTCCAATTTTCAGAGATCTTCCCAAGTGTTAGGATTACAAGCATGAGCCACCACGCCTGGCTTTCAAAAAGAGCTTAATAAAAGACCGGTTCTCACGGAGGGAAACATGGAAACACGCACACTTTGGCAATTAAACGGGACTAGAAAGGTAAACCAGCTAAGCACCGAGCTTAAGGCGTGTGCATCCTCTTAATCTCTGAAGAACAGGCTCAAGGAGACTTCAGCCACAGGCCTCTGACTGGGAGGCTATGGCGGGAAGCCTGGGTAGTAGGACCGGCCCTGGCAGTGTGGACAAGCGGCCGGGACAGAAATGCGCCGAGGCCAAGATACCGCAAGGCCCGGGGCTGTCGTGCTGCACAGCGATAGAATATATGTTTATCATTGGATTTGCCAGTCCCCAGGCTCCATCCTCAAGACCAAAAAAAAAAAAAAAAGTTTTTAAAAAGATTTGGTCTATCCCCTTTTCCCCAGTCCAGTGGAAGATACAACTCTTCTAGGGGCACCGAGTGAGTACAGGGAGCTCCTCTGATCAAAGAAGGCCTTGTATCAAATTTATATCTTATTATAATTTCAAATCTGCTTGCTGGGAGTCCTGGGACAGGTCATCAAACCTCAGTACCTCCCATAATCCTCTATACGATGGCATAGAGACTGGGGGCTGAGGAATTGTCCTGTTTGGCCAAGAGGGGGTGTATTAGCCAGAAGCTCTTCAGTCCAAGCACGGTACACTCACCCCGCTTGCTTGGGGGAGCCCGATCTATGGAGGCCTGCGGAGAAACAGGCTGTGACCAACCAAGAGTGAGCTTTCTCTTACCAGGGAATTTAGCTCCTGGTAAAGGTGGAACCTAGTGACAGCAGAAGACCCAGGGGTGGATCCCAAGACCTGCCCTGACAAGGGTATGGGAAGGCAGTCAGTTCTACAACCCCGACAGAACACCAGACTCCCCCACCCGCCCAAATCCTGGATATGGCCGCTTTGTGTGGAGTGTAGTCAGCTAGAAACGACCGTGCCTTGCTTGATGCAATCATCACAAGGGGCGTTCTCATCAGAACAGAAGCAAAGGCTACCTGCCCGAGGCTGCCCGTCATTGAGTACTTCCGGGTTCACACACACACACACACACACACACACACAGCTGAGTGACCCCACAGTCGTGGTTCACCTAGAGGAAAGTCTAGTTGTTTGTGAGCTTCTCCTTTAAAATCTGTCTTTTAAGAACTGGAGTCTGAATGCTATAAAATTCATCTCCCGTTTAGAAATTTGGAGCCATAGTAATTAGGGCTAGAATACCACTTACTAGACTACTATCTTTTTATTTGCTTCATTCTTTAAGAAAATTAATACTAACTGAATTAAAGCATCCAATATACGAAGAAAATAACTTAACTGTGGAAGAGTGCAGAGGGCTCCTTTGCCACCCCTAACTTTTCTTACACGTACCTGTACACATAGCTGTCTCCACAGGTGTCAGGTAAATAAAATGCATGTCCTCCCTGGTCAGGCTAACTCCTTGGTTTCAAAAGTCAGTTTATATTGGAAAATATAACAAATGTAAGCAAGTCGTTACCTTAACCAGCTAAATGCAATTAAGGGACGGTGCAAAGATAAAGGAATGGCTATGGCAATTCACCTCTGCCTGCAGATCTCTGCTTGAGTGTATTTGCACAGACGACAGCTCCGCCAGGAGCCCTTGAAGAAGGGGTCGAAAGTGCTTCTGAAGGGCCAGTCGCTGGGTGGGGCCTTTATCTGCACCTTCTGGGCACTTGAGACAGATGCCTGCCTTTCTTTGCACTGTGGGACCACCGCCCCTGCTAATGTACACTCAGCTTTTCTCTAAGGGGGCTGGATTTTGCCTCTCCCCTTTCCACCAGCAGGTTTACAGAAGAACCAAGACACACCTCCACTCCACCCCCTCCGCTCTGTGAAATGGCCTTGCAACAGCTTTGGAGCCCAAAGGGTCCATTAGAGCCTCTGCTCAGTCAGGCGCTACCTGCTGGACCTTCAGGCGCTTCTGAGTTAGAACATGGAGCAGATCTTTCCTGCTTTTTTGTCTTGTTTTGTTTTGTTGATTACTATGGACACGGTGCCATTTTCTGGCTTGACAGTTACCTACAACATTCACAATTTAACTTACCCGGCTTACAGTTCTGGTCATCTCCGCGTCTCCAGGAGGCGGCACCCACGGTCTCCACAGAGCTGTAACAGAACTGGAAAGGAGCACGGGGAGAGACTGAATCCCCGGCATTTCTGTTGCCCCTTAAAACGTTACTATGAGAGTATAGTGTCTGCTTGACAAAGAGGCCCTGCACACACCTTGTTCCCTTACGGTCGCAGACCGGGTCTGCCAGTACCTTACCTGTCTGTTCCTGTCTCCTGCAGAATTCTCTGCCCTCTGTTCCCAAGGAAACTCTGAGAAGGTAAGTCCCAAATCTAACACCATTATTGGGGCACGTGTTAGTCGAGGTATTTTTCTCCCAGCTAAGCTCTCATTGATACTTCAAGATTTCCCATTACAGCTGTTTGGTTTCAACTACATCACCTCTGCCACGGAAGGCTCTTGATGCTACAGCGTTCTATCACGCCGAAAGGCAATCTGTCTCTCCATCACCAAGGAGTGCCCTCCCTACCTCCCCAACTAATCTGATCTCTTTAACTCTCACACCCTTAAAGACAGCTGCGTCCCAGGAATGGGAAAACGCTGAGTCCCAGTATAAAGGAAATAGGTAGTCGCTTAGTGATAGAGCGCAGGATCCTTTTGCAAGTTTCGCATAGGCCCCCCAGCTTCCAGTGTTTCCCAGCTAGATCAATTTCAGATCCTCAATATGCACAAGCGTTGGCCCATTTCCCTGCCAGGAGTCCGCGGGGGTTCCTGCATTTCAGACAGGAGTTTTGTAGTTGTCTATCTCAGGCTAAGGAACTCGCCCTGAGTCAGGGCGCACCTCCACCGGGGCCGCAGAGACACCCTCACCTTTCGGGCCCGCGCGGCAGCGGTGGTCTCCCTAGATCATCCCTGGGACAGTGGCAGAAGCTTCCCAGCGCCTCCCGGGCTCCGGCCGCCGCCTCGGGTCTCATGGTGCGGGCGGCACGCGAGTCCCGCAGCCCGACGGCGCCTCGTCCCGCTCGCCGAGCGTGCTCACCTACCCGCTCGCTCCGCGCCAGGTTTAAAAACAGGGGCGGGGCGGGGAGAGGACTCAGGAAACTGCGCACCCCCTCCCCCCCCCCCCGGGTGTGGGAGGGCTGGGGACCGCGGGAGGGGGCCAGAGGAAGCAGAGGGTGGAGTGGAGACTGTCAAGGAAGACAGCCTGCTCGGGACGGCGGGGAGGGGTGGGTGTCCAGAGTGGAGAAGGGACAAAAGAAAACCCGGAGGGGTCACGGCGGAGCGGGACCGGACAGACCGCCCGCAGGGCCCTCCAGGTTGGCGGGTGTCCTCTGCGTGCCCTGGAGGTCGTCCCCACTGCCCAGCAGCTCTTGGCTGCCCTCGGGGTTCTGATCCCATCCAGGAGGATCCCATCTCGCCTCCCCACCCCACCCCACCCCCGTTCCCCCAGTGTCTCCCTTTCCACACAGCGAGACGTTGTGGGTGTGGGGCAGAGTCCTTTATACACTGTATTAAACCGTGGGTCCAATGGAGGACCCTGCGAGGTAGGCAAAAGATATGAAGGCACAGAGGGCAGTAAGGTGTCAGGGTTTTTTTTTTTTTTTAAAAAATATCTAAACATCTAGATGTGCTTTTTAAGTTTGATAACGCATATCTGTTAGCCCAGAAGTTAGACTTCAATTCAGCACTAAAGACATCTTTTGAAGAGAGAATGAAAATATACCTAATCGTAGTCATTTGCACAGCTAATAATAATACACGCATGTTAAACTGGGCAGTGGTGGTGCACTCCTTTAATCCCAGCACTCGGGAGTCAGAGACAGGTGGATCTCTGAGTTCGAGGCCAACCTGATCTGCAGAATGAGTTCCAGGACATCCAGGGCTACACAGAGAAACCCTGTTTTGAAAAACCGAAATAAATGAATAAGTAATTCGTGTAGGTCTTTTTTTCTGTCGTAATCCTGTGTATACAATCCAGGGTCTTTACAGAGTTCCGGACATTATGGGAAAATAGATACAAGGTTTTATAAATTATTATTTTAGATGTATTTATTTTATTGTGTGTGTGTGTGTGTTTCCTGCATGTGTGTCTGTGTACCTCTTGCATGCTTGTGGAACTGGAGTTACCTGTAGCTGCGAGCTGCCATGTGTGTGCTGGGAATCACCAGGTCCTCTGCAAAAGCAACAATGTGCTCTTAACAACTGAGCCGCCTCTCTATCCCCTAGATATAGGGATTTTAAAGACCAGCAGTGGTTTCTGAGGGGCTACTAAGGATCTGTTTATTTTTATATTTATTTATCTATGGGCATGGCATGCAGTGGAGGTTGGAGGGCAGCTCATGGGAGTCCATTCTCTCTGTCCCCCGTGTGGATTCTGGGAGCAAACTCAGGCCGTCCAGTTTCATGGCAAACATCGTTATCCACTGAGTTATTCTGTTGGCTCAGGTTCCTAAGGATTTTGAAGGACTTTTCAAATATTTTCTGAATTTTCAACAATGAATATATTACTTTTTACTGTGGCAAAAGAGAATACAAATTTACCGTTTTAATCACTTTCCAGTATGCAATTAAGCAGGTGGCATGATGTCCACTCATCTGGCCTTTCAACACTACTTCATCTCCAGAACCTTCTGTCATCCTGCAGGGAAGCTGTCCCTGCTAAATCACTTCAGGTTCCCCTCCTCGACCTTGGTAACCACTACTAATTCCTGTGTCTATAAATTTAACCGTCGTGTTCCTTTGTGATGCATTTACTAATGCTGTCATCCTCACCCCAAGCCTGCAAAGGAGGCTTTATCCACAGTGTGCAGGTTGAGGAGCTCCTTCTCAGGGTCTGGAGAGATGGCTCAGAGGTCAGGAGCCTGTAACTGACCTTGCAGGGGACCAGAGCTGCTTTCAAGTAGTCACCCCGTTGAGAGGCTGATTCTCAACAGGCTCTAGGGCTTCAGGGGATCTAATGCCCTCTTCTGCATCTGTGGGCATCTGCACTCCCGGGCACATACCTGCTTTCTGGACACACAGGTAAACATAAAAGTTTAAAAAGTAGAAAACTGGCAATCAGAGATTAAATAAGATACGCAAAATCAGTGGTTACAGAGCCAGGACTGAACTAAATGCCAAGGCAAAAGGCACAGCGCTTGCACACAGTGACAAGTCGTCCTCACTCTTTTGTCGTTATTTTTTTTACTTATGCTGAGAGAAATGTCAGATCTCCATGGTCAAAGCTTGGGCAGTTTGAATAACAGAATATTAGCTTATGGTTCAAGGTATAAAATAGATACCCATACGTTCCTACTTATGGTTCAAGGTATAAAATAGATATCCATAAGTTCTTCTTACATCAATATTTGCTGAATAAATGAAAACTTGAAAATTCGTGAAGGAAAGAGAAGACACGGACAGAAGGTCCAAGCGTCCCAGTGGTTTCTGCAAATGACCGACTCTCAAGGCAAGCGTAACTAGTCAAAGTGCTTCACGGGTTGTGTTTAATACAGAGCAGCTCTGTGGAGGCAGGTTTGCGTCAGTGAGCCGCAAGTGGCTTTATCCACTGAGTCGTCTTGCTGGCCCAACAATGTGTGCTTTTTATTGTTGTTTTTGTTTGTTTTTGAGACAGGGTCTCTCTACATAGCCCTGGCTTTTCTGGAACTCACTTTGTAGACCAGGTTGGCCTTAACTCACAGAGATCTCCCTGCTTCTCCCTCCTGAATGCTGGGATACAGTTACATCATAGCCCCCTCCCTTTACCTCCTTCCAAATCCTCTCATGTACTGCCCCTTGCTCTTTTTCAAATTCATGGCTTCTTATTCTTTTCTTTCTTTCTTGTTTCTTGTTTTTTTTTTTTTTTTTTTGAGAAAGAATTTCTTTGTGTAACCCTGACTGTCCTGGAACTCTCTCTATAGACCACCCTGACCTAGATCTGCCTACCTTTGCTTCTTGAGTGTTGTCTTTATAGGCAAGTGCCACCACCTCCCAGCCAACTTTTTTTCCCTGTAATTGTGACACACGCACATAAATATAACCTGCTCAGTATTTATAAATGACATTTGTTTGTATGTTTTCAGGGCTGATCACTTGGTATTCGTATTCAATTGGTGTGCTTTTCCCTGGAGAAACCTTTTTTTTCCCTCTCTCAGCCTTCCTTAGTTGCCTGTGGTTCTTTGCCTAGGGTGGAGGCCTCATGAGCTCCCTGAGGTTATCATGTTATCCAGTCTATTGCTGTCGCCCTTGTTCAGGTCGCTGGTAGACAGGCCTGCGGAGGAGACTTGGTGACTGTAGCCTCTGACATTTCTGGGGAAAACAGTCTCACAGCAAACTTCTTTCCCTCTGATTCTTACAGTCTTCTCCTTTTGAAAATACCCCTGAGCCTTAGGTGCAGGGCTTGGCTTGTAGATGCGTCATCTGGAGCTGGGCACAATTTGTACTTTGGTCGATGGTGGATTCCATCTGTGGCAAAGAGAAGGCTCCTTGATGAGGGGTTATTTTTATTTTATATGATGAATGTTTTCCCTCCGTGTGTGATTGTGCACCACGTGAACGATGGGTCCCACTGAGACCAGAAGAGAGTGTCACGTTCCTGAACCTGGAGATACAGTTGGTTGTGAGCCACCCAGTGGGTGCTGGGAACCTGGGTTCTTTGCAAGAGCATCCGGTGCTCATTGCTTTTGAGCCTTGATCTAGCACCTCATTTCTCTCCTTCTTGTTTGTTTTTAGCTATAGATACGGAAATTAAAATACAGAACATGGCTGGGGCATAGCTTAGTGGTAGGTTGCTTAGCATTCAAGAGGCCCTAGATTGATCCGGTTGGATTCCCTATCCTGTGAAATATACAAATAAATTACAGCAAAAGAAACAAACTACAATTAAAGTCACTGAGAATGTAAAGGCATTTTGTGTTACAGAGTATCTGAGTATAGTAACTGTCCAAACTTTGAGTCCAGGGCAGATCTTTATGCACAAGGAAGTCCTTGGGCAGAAGAGACAGAAAATTCACGGGACCCTCGGCACATAACCAGGGAAATCTATCGAATTTCAAGGGTGTCAATCCTGCCTCAGGTGGTGAAGTAGGAAATAAATGGAGATCCCATTTCGTGCTCTCTTGTCTTTGATTAAAGACTCCTGCTCAGATACTGACTTCCGGTGAGAACTTAGAGACAAAGACTGAAGTTGTCCATCAGAGGGTTTCTGGCAGGTCTCTGAGGAGGATGTCAAAGTCAAAACATCCGAGAGGGTGGAGTATTTTTACATAAACAGTGTGGAAGACAGGCAGGGAAGTGATCATTTCCTCTCCTTTTGCTTGGTTCAGCCTCACTTCCTGGTCCCTGCTCTTCAGAACCTTGCACAGCTCTGGAAGCTGTTCTAGAAGCCCTGAGATGCCGTTATTACTTGTTATGTTGTTGTTATTCTTATTTCTTACACTGTTGGAAACCAAACTCAAGGCCTCCTGCATGCTAGCAAGGGCTCTACCATGGAGCGCCTCCCTCAGTTCAAGACTGAAAATAATCTTTTAACCTGTGGTTTTGTTTACGAGGAGGGTCTGTGCGTGTGTCACTGCGCCTGTGTGGATGCAGATGGCAGCTGTGGGGAGGCAGCGTCTCCTTCCATGAGGGACGAGGACAATTAGCACAGCTTTCTGCCCCCACAACAGGACTGTTGGCAGTCACCAAAAGTGGCAAATGTAGCCTACATAATGAGCATGTAGACCAATACTCAGCCGTCAACTTGGACCATCAAGATGGCTCAGTGGGTAGAGACGCTTGCTCCCAACCCGACTGAGCTCAGTCTCTGGGATCTAATGGTAGAACTGGTAAGCGGATCCCTGGGACTGAACCTAGGTTGCCAGGCTTCCTGGTAAACACCTTGTCAGCTCTCATAATTTCCTTAAATTAAAGCAAAAACAATAGTGTATTTGTTCCATGGGAATAAGAGATCCATTTTAGGTTAAAACTTTTTATGTGACATATTTTTAAGTGTATATAATAAAATTTCCTATTTTAACTCTTTCAAGGGTGCATTTGGTGCCATTGAGCACAC